TTGGTGCAATAGCTACACTAACGATAGCAACAACATTAAATCCCGCTATTATATCACAAAATAATGACACAATAAAAGTCGCAACATAGTTTAATAACCATGCTGAACGGTTGTGAGCAGCGTGCATGAACGTGGACGACGATGGTGAAATCTTAAAAATAGCACCTTTTGTAGCAGAGTGCCATTTGTCCAGTGCAGAAGTAGCGTTTTTACACATACCGCCATGCAAGCACAGCGCAGCTTTTTTTCTTCTGCCTTTGTCGGATCCACTCAGCTGAAAAGCCGTGTATTGTCCTCCACATACATGGCGACGGTGTCATTAGGCATCTGTATGCGAGAGTGCAGTGCATGTTCAGCTCGTTCCCGGCGGTCAGGGCTCCTGTAGGTCACCAAAAGGTGATGCTAGAACTCGCGCCAGGATGTCAAGACATCACCTCAGTTCAGCAACTACGTTCGGCCGCCATACTTTCAGTAGACGAACGACGTGGAGTCGTCTCAGTAGTTGGTCGCAGCGACATGTTCAAACTCGCTCAGCCAGTCGTCCAAATCTTCTAACAGCTTTCTGTGAAAGGTACTAGGCATCAGTTGGTTCTCAACAGTGCCATAAGTTGGACTAGACGGCGTAGGAGTTTCCATTGCGACTTGGGGGGAATTCATAGTCACTCTGTCAGCAAGCTGTTTCTGTGTCTCTGGTGGTAGGCCTCATTAGTGGTGGCTTGCTCTGTGAGCTCTAGTGTTCGCAGGCTCAGGGCTTGTGTTCCGGCTTCTGGGCTGGCTCTTGTGCATGGGGTGAGTCGTGAGTTATTGTACCCAGCAGCTAACCAATCTTGTCACGATTAAAACAACCTTGAGTTAGGCCAAGAAGCGGCTCAGACTGACCTTCTCTGTCCTCTTTCACACGCACGTGGTTCTCCCACGCAAAACCATACAACAATATTTTCTCCAACTCTTTACATGCAGCTAATTGTTTACTGCACTTTTACGTGGTTTTCAGGGAAGATATTTGGGAATCAGTAAATGGGCTACAAAAAAAAAAAAGAAATCACAGCATATCCACAGAGTGAATGATGATGAGTGGGGCGAAGCGTCCATCTGTGTGACAGACCGGCAGACAGACAGATGCTTTGCCCTACTCATCATCATTCACTCCATGGATATGCTGTGCATGTCTTTTTATAACAGCGTCACTTATTCTCCTTAATCGTCCACTATTGGGCACGAGGACATATCGTGGCGCCACCATGCAGAGGCATCCCTGTGACATGCATGGTTGGATTGCTCCGCCGCCCGCAGCAGCTTTCTTGTCTCCTTTTTTCATATTATTTTTGCGATACTTCACTCAGCGAAATCAGTAAAATACTGCTGGAGCTTCTTCCCTAATTATCTGCCCCGGAAAAGCGTTGCGCTTCTCATAATGCCTGACTGCCGGCGTCGTCTGCTACGGCCACCAAAATGAAAACTCCGAAGTCCGAACGCGCTGCTTTTGTAAAAAGTAATGAGTCATTCAATGTCAAAATAAAGCATCAAATTGGTATTAACGGTAAAGAAACTTATCTCTGCTGCACAAAATGTGCGCAACCACTCTATTTTATTCATTGTAGGTTTGCATCTAAAGACGGCCCGCGGTTGACATGACAAGCATGGGCAAATTTACAGTTTTGTTTAGCGGACATAGCCCTACGAAGTGCAGCGCAAGCGGATTCCCCGCTTTGAGGGAACCAGCATAGCATTTTTGTAACCGCAATCTTTCTATTATGATTGAAGGCAAATGTGAGAATCACACACGCTCATGCCTCATTCAGAGCTGTAACTTTTCTCTGCGGCACGACTTTAATATTTATTGCGCAAATATTCTACGGTGGTCCCTCGTTGCACATTCGATCGCCATTAATCCACACATGGGTAAAGACGATTTATAATTGGTTGGTTCAGTTCCAGAGCTTCTACCAAGAGGTAAACTGTAATAAAAAAATGCGATCAGTCAGTCATATCATTTTGCGCCCTTGAATGCGGTGAGGTTTTGCATACTGTGATCTAAACGGCAATTTCATGTTTCAGTAAAATCGCCGGTGTCCCGTTTTCTTTCTTTATTTTAACAGCTTCATTCATAAGCTGTGTGATATTTTGTGGCAGCTATCAGAAGATGAATCAGTTTTCGAAGCTGACCACGTTTTCACCTGTAGATCAAAACAGCACTCAGAGGAAGTGACAGAGGCTACGGGCCCGTTCTACAGATGTAATCTTTAGGCGAGGAACCCTGTAATTTGAAGTCGCAGACGGCAGGGGCATGGGCAGAAATTTTTTTCGAAGGGGGCACCATATTAAGTTGGGTTTGGTCAGGCAGATGTGGTAGGCTGTTCGTTTGTGCATTTGCACCATGGAAAATAATGAGGGGGCAGGGGGCACAGGCTCGGTGTGCCACCCCGTGGCTACGCTACTGGCGGATGAAAAACCCATGTGGTTGGGTACACACATCGAGACGAACAGTCGGGGAGGAGGGTGAGAATGGAACAGACTGCGGTTAAGTTACCTTGGCGAGAGAAGTAAGCTTTAGCAAAGACAGGAGCGGCACATGTATGATATAAGAAAAAGGTTCCGTCGAACACGCTGGCTGAACACACAAAAGCAACTGGCCACAAGTAGACTGGAATAGGGTAAAATTTACAAAAATAAAGGAAAAAGAACTGGAATTTCGGGCTATATCTCGACTCTCAGACAATTCAGACAACGGCGCACATTCTTGAATGTAATAACAGCAACTTCCCCTACATGTACACACCTACGTCCTATTTTAAAATATACATTATCGAATTGTGTACACATTCATTTTTCGTTGTGAACGAGGCTCCCATGACAGAAACTGAAATGTTCTGCTTTTCTGTGAGCATTATTGGTCGGTGCTCCTTTTAACCCCATAGGCTTGAGATAACAACACAACAACAGAGAAAAAAAGAGGTGACAGTGGCACAGCCAGCGGCTGTGCCAATGCCCTCACGTACGTAATGCACTGTGGCACGGCGCCGGTAACCTTTACTGCAACTTTCCGGATTGTGTAGTCTGCAAAAGTGCGCACAAATTAAGTGTAAGGAAAACAACGCTGTTAAAAAGTGAAAACATCGCGAGGTCCCAGTTGAAAACAACGCACCCAACTGCCAACTTTCCTTCACCAGAGCGAGGCAAGATCACGTGATCCAACCATGCACATCACAGCGAATGCAGCGCTCGCACCTCCGGTGGTGGGCCTCGTGTCCAATACGAAAACCACTATCGCCACCTAGTGATATCATTTGCAAGGACATATACACACAACACCATCTAATGAGAACTTCTTAAAAGTAACTAGAAGTGGCTACTATTACAACATACTTTTACGAGGAAACTACCCACACCCTATGGAGCTTCACCTCTAAAACTAGTTTCCCCGTAAATTCTCCTGATGAGAACTGCTGCATTCCCCCTTAAAAGAGCTCTCTAAAACTATTCAACCCTCCACGTTTTATTCGTGGGTTGTATAGACTGAAGTACAGACAGACTAATGCAACAAAAACAGCAATGATAACAGCATCCAGTCGGGAGTTATTTTACTAAAAAAATTCAAAATACAAGAAAAAAATACCGACAATCAACTCTATTCTTGTGGGTTCACTTGACCACATTTCACTCGCCCATGACGTCGGAAGGCTGCCCCAATGAAATAACCTGAAAGCGCCTACGTAGAGGAAGCTCGCACCCCATTGTTGCTTGTTCTTTTTTTTTTTTCCCCCAAGGTAACATTGACCTTGTTGCCACAGCAACAAACGTGATGCATGACACCTGGCTTGCCAGAACATGAGCGGGAGCTAGTGTGTGTGTCGAAGCAAAGAGAGGTATTTTGTGCTGTTTTTTACAACATACTGAGTCACTCCCTCCTCATATCCTGAGAAAAGAACTTGTGGGACAACGTACATAATGAGACAGCTTGTGAACTCTCAAAAGCAAAATGAGAAAAAAAAGAGAGAGTGGTCTTTCGTATAGACATACAACCAGCGCAAGCCAGAAATTGTGGTGAAATGGCAGCCAGCGTCTCTATTGCGCTTTGTAGTCGCAGCGTTTTTTTTTTTTTTCCGTGTCTGTTAACAGTTCGATGAAAAAGCATACAGAAGAAAAATGAAACAGATAAGAGTAACCCCAGTTTCGACCCTACACCACGATCGCTTCTAACGTTACATTTATCCAATCATATGCCAACAACCTTCCGGCGTCATTTCCGTCCGCGAAGTTCTGGCAAGTGCCACTATGGGGTGATGCAATTGACAGCGATGTAGTGACTTTATTACGTGATTAAAATACAAAAGAATTCGACATTGATGCTTAGACTTATGCTACAATTATCTCCAGCTATCGGTCTATGCAAACCACAAATAGAAAATAGGTGCTTCAATAGTGTTGGAGTGCCCCTTTAAGCATGAATTTGTTCTTTGACCATGTTTGTTACTTTTGATTCACTCCTATTACAACTTACAAGGCTGCAAGATAACAAGATACAAGATGTCAAGATAGAAAAATGACTGCAAGCAAATCATGAGCATCTGCCAGTACATGACATACATTTTCCAATTTTTGTGTTGCAACCTTTCATTTATGTTCATCTTGCATGTGCGTCACGCAATGCCGAATTCGGTAAATGTAAAGCTAGCAACATGGCCTTGAGTGTTTTGCTATACATACACACTGTCTCCCATAATTTGAAAAAAAAAAAATAAATAACCACTCAGCAAGCCAACAAGTGTGTTGGCTTGCTGAAAATTTACATACAGTCGAAAGTTTACACACAATTAGTATTCCTTAAAAATCAAGCACACATGAAATTACAAGTTGTGATGCTGTATTGATGACAACAAAAAATGATGCCAAGGAAAGTATTGGGGATGTTATTAATAGTAGTGCAATGTAGTAAATATAAAGAAGAGCAGACAAAGACATAAGTTTTGACACTTCATTTTGGAGGCCCAGTCGCTCACCTGCAGGCTAGACGCCAGCAGCTGCACCTCCGGGCTGTACTGGTTGGTGGACGCCTGCTCGTAGCTGGGGGGTCCCTCACTGCTGCCCCCACTGCCCCCCCGCCACGGGTCCCCCACTGCAGCCTCCTCCTCTTCTGCAGAGGGCGCCGGACGACGGCCTGATCGCTTCACCTGCACACCAACCCCCCAACAACAGCACTGCAAGACCGTACTGCGAGTCCTGTCATCATCCAAAATAATCACCCATTGCTGCAGTTATGATCAGTATGTCATACCGAACTCTGTGGAGGAAGGAAGAAGAAAGGAGGGACATCACTCGACTGAATCCCACTGTGTCACGTGACTAATACTGGTGGGATTAGACTAAAAGCTATTGGGTGTCATGCCTCGAATTCTGCGCAAGGTAATCTTGGTACAAAAGGCTGGGTTTACTTGCCAAGATGTGATGCCCTCCGTTCTTTTTTTTTTTTCTCCATGCCAATATTTTCAGAATGAATATGCTCAGGGTACAGGCGACAACAGTTGTCACAGTCTACACAGAGAGACAGATTCAAAGGAGCACTTGGTGTAATGCTAGGCAGGTGACAAGGTTACCGACCAAACACCTGCCACAAAATGATGTGCCACAACTTTCCATGGCCTAGAAAGCAAAACTCATACTGCAGCAAGCAATGCACGATTGATAGTGGTCAACAGAGCGGCAGCCATAGATTACCTGTGAAGCAGTGAAGTGCTTCGTCAGTTATGCATGTGCCATATAAGATTCCAGTTCCAGAACAAATGCACGCATATTCTCATTAGAACGATTAGTAGACTGTTCCTAGTCATACGAGTGCTGCTTGCGCGAGGCAGCAGTAACACATGTAGTCTGGTGTCAACACAAAAAGAAAAAAAAAAAGGAGCATGTCTCACAATCAAAGGTCGGCCAACTCACTCATGAGTCGACTCACTCGTTCAGATTCGGATCGAACCATGAGTGAGCGAGTCTGTGTGAGTCTGTAAGAGTAATATTTTGGCAAGTGTCTCGAGTGCAAGTCCAAGTGAGTCCTAAGCGCAAGATATATTTCCTGAACGAGTCTGAGCAAGTTCTATTTCCAGACCTACTGTCTTATGCACTCATCTTCAGCATTACTATCAACCTTACCTGAATTAACATTTATACTCACGCCTACTTGCATGTATTATAAAGATGTACCGCTTGTACATCATTTTAGAGGCATCAATTACGCTTCATATGCCCACTCCCACCTCTCCCGTCAATTCTTTCAGGGACGTTATAGATAAATATATCTTATGTCGTCATCATTTCATGAATGATCTCCTTACTCGTTTGCAACTAGTATTACAAGGTACTATATCGCCACGTTCCTTTCCTCAAGTTTTGTTATCATCCTGTTACACTACGTTCAGCGCAAACCGCGCCTACGATGTCCGAAAAGCTTCGAGGCTGTAGTAGATCGTTTTGTTGAGATTACACCCACCTCGTGAATATTACAGATTATTCTGGAACCTACATCACCGATAGCGATAATGCTAGAACATTCGATGGCAAGCGAATAAATGCTGACGCGCTTCGACGCTTGTCAGTTGATCGACAGCCGACGCTCTGCTGGCCGCTATCAGTGCCATAGTCTTGCTGTAATCTGACTTCCATTTTACGTGCCCAAAAGTTAGGCCCGAATAAACAGTTTATTATCCGTCCTTCAGTCTGCTCCCTTCTTCCACGTCACGACCCCGTGACATCTGGTGGGGGTGCTGCTCCTTCCATGAATCGGACGCCCCCGTCAAGTCGTGAAGCCCAGCCCCGGTTATGAAGACATCGACGACAACCCCGAGCAGCGAACAAGCCGCAGGCAACAAAGTCTACCGCCCGAGTTTGGGCCTCAACCTGGGAAGACCCAGCAGATCAAGACCCAGACCATGGCCGCAGCAACGATGACAGACCCTGTGCCGTCTGCAGCGATCCTGCTCCGGCAACCCAAGGAGCCACTGGCCTTCCACGATTCAGTTCAGCCCTTGAAGACCCGGAAAGTTGGCTGGAGGCATACGACTAAGTGGCCATTTTCAATGCTTGGACCAGCGAAGATAAGCTACGTCATGTGTACTTCACCTTACAAGATGCCGTAGTTCGAGAACCAGGAGCGAACCCTGACAACATGGCACACACTCTGCACAAAGTTCCTCGCTACATTCACGAGCGTCGTACGCAAGGAAAGGGCCAACGCGCTGCTTGAAACCCGGTCGCAGCTTCCAAACGAAAACGTGACGCTCTTCGCAGAAGAGATGACCCCACTCTTCCAACACACCGACCCCGATATGCATGAAGACAAAAATGTTTGCTTTCTGATGCCAGGAGTAAAGCAAGAGCTGTTTTGATGTGAAACCCACCGTGCACTGTCAAGGCATTCATCTCTGAAGTGACGATGATTGAAAAGATGCTGGAGATGCAGACCCGACAATTCAATCGCTGCTCGACGCCAGAGTACGCAGAGACGCAACCACTCTGCGCCAACGACCTGCGCAAAACGATCTGAGCGATTGTGCGGGAGGAGCTTCCCAAGCTGTTACTCTCAGCACAGCCTGAAGTAGACTCAATCGCCGACATTGTCCGCGAATAAATTCAGCAACTGCTTGGAGTTTCCGAAGCACCGCAGCCTCAACCACAAGCGATGAGCTATGCTCCCCCTTCAAGCGCATGTCAAGAGGCCACACCTGCGCAGTTCCGCTGCCGGCTACCACCACCGTCGAAGCCATACCGTCCACCCGCTGGGCAGCCCAACGCTTTGAGGAAAATCGATGTGTGGCGTGCCCCCAACCACCAACCTCTCTGCTACCACTGTCGAGAAGCTTGCCACACTTACCGCCGCTGCCAGTATCGTCAGATGGGACTGCGTGGTTTCATCGTAGATGCGTCGCGTCCACAGTGAGGGGAAAGACAGCGCGACAGCGCCGACTACCTTGCAGCAGCGCAGTGGACACCCTGAGGATTTCATTCACCGTCACCCAACTGCTACATGTCGCCTCACCGCCGGCCGCACAGTGACCCAACTCGGGGCCGGTCTCCTAGCCCTTATCCGGGAAACTAAAGGCAGCAACCGCTGGAGATGCGGTTACTGTGCGACGAACTACTGAAAATCCTCCGATGATGACGCAGAGACGGTACTTTCGAACACAACGTGAACCAGGGAGAGCCTGGACGACAAAACCCCACGTACTGAAGATGACCCGACAAAGCAGCGTGGAAGCAGTGGAGCGAACCAACGTAGCCATGACCAAATGCCACGACCGAATCGAAACGCACGAAGACCAACTAGTGACTTGGACGTAATCTTTGATGGCCACAATGTTACAGCTCTCGACGACACTGGGGCGGACTATTTTGTCGTCAATGGGGCTTTTGTAACAAAGTGGGGCTTTCGTAATGAAGTTACGAAAGCCCCACTGACAACGGAATAGACGCAATACCCGAGCGAGACCCTTGCTCGGGTATTGCGCGGCTACGTTGTCCAAGTGGCTCACGTTCCGACACGAAAGGTCCGAGGCCGTCTCACAAATGTCAAAGATAAGTTGGACAGACATGATTTTCCCGGCGTGGTGTATAAAATTTCTTGCAAAGACTGTGAATACGGATACATTGACGAAACGGGCAATTACAAAAAAGGGCTCCGGGAACATTTTAATGACATCAAGAACAAGAAAGTAGCTTCTAACGCCCTCGCAGAACATGTTGCATCTACTGGGCACGCTATCAACTGGGATAAAGCCTGCATCATTGCCACGGAAAGAAAGTTGTTACCACGATTGCACATGGAATCTCTGGCCATTCAAACTGCGCATACGTTGAACAGAAATATTGGGACACTCCCCTGTGTACGTGCGATGTCTGCAACACGTGATGAAACGTGCATAAGAAGAGCGCACTACGCCATTTGCGGTCACTGTGAACAAGGCGCCCGTGTGGGGAGCTGAAACATCTTTTTAACTTTTGTGTATTTCACCTTGGTCGGCGTTTTTGTTATTTTGCACAAAGTTCATATTTCCTGCTAAGCGTACGTGGCTACGGCAACGCATTTTTGTCTTGAAGTTGTGTTGTCCCGCTGATAGGTATCCGTGGAGGTCAATGGCCCGATGAGCACGTGGCTTTGTTACTTTATCTGGTCGATCGCGTTTTCCAAGAGCCCTGACCAAATGGGATTAAGGTTAGCGCGAAAGTCGCACTTTTCACGGGTGAAAGTAGCACTTTTTTGTGCCATAGTGCAATTAGCCCTGCAGTATCTGTAAATAAATAAAGAACAAAGCATCAACAGGCAAAAGTCACACTTTTTTATGCCATAGTGCAATTTAGCACTGCAGTATCTGTAAATAAATAAATAAAGTTTGGTGCAGTGATGAACGCACCGGGGAGGCCTTCACATGTTCACTGCTTAAGTTGAGAACTCTGCCTCTGCTGTTTTGAAAGATGAGCACATCGCTACCTAATTGGCTGCCATACAGACGTCACTGCAGGACCAAAATCATCACGTTTGCCAAAGCAATCTACCAGCAGGACGCTGCTCACCAAGACACTGCATGCCAAAAACATCCACAGGAGGGTTGCCGACTCACAAATCATGCACCCTTCGCGGCAGCGAACCCCAACTTGAAAAACGATTGAGTGAAAACCTATTAAATTTCGCCTGCATCGAACACCTGTGGTTCTAGTGCCATCTGCGTGATGCTCCGATGGGTGCAACCTAGTGTCTGAGGAAAGTGTATCCCAGTCGCAAGGCATCGACTGTTTTGATGAAAATGTGCCACCACTTGTCAACAAGGGTGCATCAAAATCTAAAGGTGTCGTAGCCACTAAACGCTGATGCACATTATATATCAATGCACAGTAAATACTGAACTTACAAAGGTGTTCTTATAGAGGTTATAAAGGGGTCTGGCTGTATTTAACACAATCACTCACCTTTCTGTATAAGCTTTATGCTGATTTTGTGTTATACATGAAAGTATACACCTTTTCTCAGAAAGGAAAAAAACACCGCCATGATGGGCTGTGCGCGGGAGTACAAAGGCTAAGGGTGCAGCGTTGTCAATGCATTTTCGAGGGGACGCGCCAATTTGTACAGCCCAAGGAGGGCTATGGCGGCGCCCAGGGAGGCATTTATCAAAAGGTGAGTAGTCTC